TGATATCAATTCTTCTGGAAAAAAAGGAATAGCAATAAATAGCTCAAGTGTGGGATAAAAGTTTCACAATCTTTCCTTTCTCACATCAAAATCATTCCTTTATGTATTTTCTTAACCTATGTTAGATCTGTTCCACAGTTAGATTTTGCCCTTAGCCTTGAGTTCTGAAAAGATATGTTAACATATCTTGGAGCAATGCTGGGTGAGAAAGCTTGTAAGAGAGTGGATTTCTCTGAATATTTAATGGTATGCTGGTGGATAGCAGCGAGAAATTTTATTTAATTTATTTGTTGTGTAATCTATTGGGTCATTCTGTCATTACATCTGGTTCTTCTAAAATAGTCAAATGATTCCTTCGGAGGGCTACATGGTGAGCATTTGGGACTGAATTTTCCATCTGACTCTCCAAAAGTTCAGTTATATGTGTTTCTAGATTCATGCAAGGTGCGAGAGGCACTTCAAGGATATATGTAGTTACTGAGAGACACTACAATGGTATCTATAGTTATTCTTATTTTCTTTCTAGGGAAGGGATTGGCAGAGGAAACTACAGCTTGAACTTATTATTACTATTAGGAATTAAGAAAGAATAACTCTATACCTGTCAGAAAACTTCCAAGCAGAGGAAAAAGGACCAAAACCCCTTAGACAGAAGAAGGCTTATGATTTAGCATCCTTTCCTTGAAGGAGGATTACTGTAAATGATTTTCAAACATTTGAGGTTTTTGTTTCATCGGCTTTTGTTATCTGGTCTTTTTCTATTTGAAATGGTATAGCTTCTTGAAAAGAGTGATCAAACTTGAATAGGTGGACTTATTTGGTATATGATATATACATTATATGGTGTTGGTTTGTAATGTAGAACCCCAGGAAGATTTACAAGAACTCTTGATGTAGGCTATTTGTGGAAGCTTTATTTGTCTAGTTTCTCACCAGTCTAGCTCTCATATGAGGTTCATTTAGCTTGTGTTTCTTTTAATATCTTTTTACTTTTTAATTGCAATTTCTATTTATTCTTTCCTATTCCTTATCAGTTTGCAGAAAAGTGAAATTCCTATCTTAGTCTTATTCTGACTGTTGAATGTGATATGCTTTGATCTTCAGGTGCACTTTGTGTTGAAAGAACTTGTGAGGAAGTCAATAGCTGAAACACTGGTAAGTAGTTACTAGCTGGAAACATCCCTTTTCATGAAATTCAATAAAACTAATGTAAGATAAATTCTTGAATAAGAAAAAAAGTTAAGAGAAATTATTATGTTCCTTGTATATTAATTCTGAACCAATTTGCTGCAGTATTTCTTGTTTTGCTATGTAATAAACTTGTGCTGCTGGTGTGAAAGAGGTGGAACTTGATCCCGCTAGCATTTATAGGTTTTTCCCTTTTTTTATTGTCATCTCTCTTGAAGTCGCTGCAGGCTGTTGAATTTACAAGAGATCTTGCATCTCTTTTACTTCATGTGATAAGGGCTTGGGGTATTCATATCATGCATTGACATTGTCATTCTAGCCACCAAATCTGAGGTTAAATAAAATATTTTACCTTGATGAATCATCATATGTGTGTTTGTAGGGCATTTTAGTTAGTTCACTAGCTTAGAGATATATATAATTGCAATGGTTAGAAGCATCATAGATGAACTACATATGTCACCCTATATACCTAATTTTTTATATTCTATTGCCAGCATCATCGAACAAAATCTTTATTTACCAGAAATTTCTTACGGGGTCTATAAGACCAATACCGATAGTGTTATGTCGAAATTCGGTCACTTTTTTGAAGTCACCGAGAATGTTGATGAACTTGGTTTGTGTGTCAAATGCAAGTATTTTTGGAATTTCAGTACTTTCAGTGATGCTATCTATAGATGACATGTTGATTTGTGTTGTGAACACATGTAAGTAATTCTTCAAATTAAGACATTTTTCTGCAGTACAGTGAAAAGGATCTAGAGAACTAGAACAAGAAAAATAAATTCAGTGTCAATGACAATGCTCTGCATCCTTTCAGTTAAATGGAAAGAGGATCTCTGTAGTTTTGCTTTTATTAAGATGATGAAGTTCAGAATTACTTTTTTTTTTTTCTGTTATGTGATGCACATGCACTTGATTTAATAATTACTTAATGATAATTGTCGGATGGCAAAACGGCTGTGAGCTGATAATTATTGCAAAATGGAAGTTGATAATGGAGATTTTGTGGTTTTATATGGAGTCAGCATAGGCATCATTTCAGTTTTTTCATGCCATACGAAAACTTTGTCAAGTGGTCACATTCATAACTTCTTTGGACTTTGATAACAAGACTCCTTTCCTTGACATATGTGTGTTGTATTCTTATTGCTTCTACTTTCCACTCAGCCAGTCCTACTAATCATGCACGTAGAATAGTCTAGCTGTTCCTGTTGGATTAGCTGCATCTTCAGTCTTTCTTCCCAGAGTTCATAATAAAAAAATTAGTAATGTGAATTTATGTCTTTGAGAAGAAAAATATGGTTTCTACAAATGTTTTCCCTGATTTGTCTCTTCAAGTAATTGAAAATTTTCTTAGAAAATATAAAAAAGGAAAAAGAAAAGGTGTATTTGTGTCTGGGTTGAGGTGGTTGTGAAGTGGATTTTGTTTTTCCATACTACTTTTGTGGGTTCCTGGAAGTTGACACAATATCCACAATATTTCCTTTGTGAGATGATTCCAACTACTAATAGGATATACTGCAGATGATATGAAACTTCAATGCAACTGCAGGAATTGAAGCGATTCCCAACACTTCAAAATGACATAGCTACTGCTGCAAATGAAGCTTTGGAAAGATTCCGCGAAGAAAGCCGTAAAACAGTGTTAAGGCTAGTGGAGATGGAGTCCAGTTACTTGACAGTTGATTTTTTCCGGAAGCTTCATACAGAACCAGAGAAGAATGCAAACCCATCTGGCCCAAATAATGACCGTTTCAATGATAATTATATCAGAAGGATTGGTATATAAAGTTTTACCTGTTGATTATGTTACTACTCTTCTGGTTTTGTTTAGCTCAAACTGACATATACATGGTGTTCTAATTAAGATCCCTTAGCACTTAATTTAGAGTGTTTCAAAATAATCAGCATTTCTATTTATTCTTAAATTCAAGTTACTCTTTGAATTATGGAAATTCCTTACTTAATTCTGAGCAGGCCTAACTTTTAACTTTCAAATATTTTCCTTATATTTTAGTGGTGCTAGTTTCTTTTTACGGGATATAGGATGTTCAAACATCACAGTTGTTTAATATATCGATTAGCAAGTACTGACATATATCTCGTTTCTTGGTTCAGGATCAAATGTTAATGCTTATATAGGCATGGTTTGTGATACACTGAAGAATACTATTCCTAAAGCAGTGGTCTATTGCCAAGTAAGAGAGGCCAAGAGGTCACTGCTGAGCAACTTTTATGCCCAAGTAGGAAGGAGAGAGGTAAATTGTTTAGAGTATTACATTTTGGTGTTGCACTTCTTTCTCTTCCATCTACCAATCCTTGAGGAAAATGGAAAAGAGGAAAATTTTTCACTAGTTGTCAGAAATGTATAAGAAGATGCGGAGTTGATTGTTTGTTATAAAGAAAAATGAATGCCTTCTGGATTCAACTTCAAGTGCAATAAACCCTGTATACTGCTATTATTGGTTCAATTTATTGAGAACCTACCTTAGCTCTCTCCATCTATTAGACTGGATTAATTTCTAACGAACAAACCCATGTATTCGTAAATTGGATTGATTTCCATATAGAATCAGGTTGAACCTCAAGCCATTGGACATCCAATTGCTGCTTGGGGTTCTGTCTAGATATCCGACTTGAGATGCTGGTGAAATGAGTCTCAAACCAACTTGAAAAGAACAAGGTGTAGGCAGATGTAGCAATATGTTTCATACTTTGTGATGTTAAATTGTTGTGTTGTGTTCATGCAGAAGGAACGACTTGGTGCAATGTTGGATGAGGACCCTCAACTGATGGAAAGAAGAACACAGATTGCCAAAAGGCTCGAGCTTTACAAATCGGCAAGAGATGAGATTGATTCAGTGGCATGGAAATGATAAACACACCAATTCTTCTTTTTTTTTTCTTTTTCTATTTTTTTTACACGTACATTTCACAGAATAATTCACAGATGAACAGCACATTCATTTTTGTTGTAAACGATAGTGAAGGGTTATATATTGTTTTGACAGCGTGGAATGCTTTTGAATATGTATGTTTCTTTGCAGTTTCCTCTGCCCACGTTTTAGTGTTCAATGTTTTCCTATTTTCTTTATTATACTCAATTGAATTTTTGTAATATCATTTTTTAATTAAACTCTTATTTTGGGTGGAAGATATTAAAAGCAATTATCTTTGTCTATATATATGTATAGAATTAAATATATTTTAATAGTTTCATAGCAAAGGACTCAAATTAAATATAATTTTTATCTATAATATAAAATTTGAATTTTGTTAACGTGTTTTAAAATTTATAACAAATTATTAATTTTTAAAATTTACATGCAAATGGATAATTCTTAAATTGCAATGCATGGAATTAAGATTTGAAAAGAAAAAAAAAAAGTAAAACATTTTTAAGGTGCCTATTTTGATGCATTTAATACAAAAGGGGTTTTAAAAATTTTGGGCGGCCAAAGCCCTCACGAGCTTCCATAGATAGCCGCCATTGAATTATTCACTCTTTTTTTTTATCTTTTGCCAAATTATTCATTCTTGAAAAAAAAAAAATTACATACTCAACAACATTTAAAAAAGACAGAGCTCGAATTAAAAGAAATCTATAAATTCGAAAAGTTCGACCTTAAAAACTAATTAACAAATTTATACTTTTATAACGCATTGAAATATAATAATTTTGATTTGATTCATGAATATTTATATTATTTAATAATTAAATTTATGCAATTTTTATTTGATCCATAATTATTTATACTACTCAATAATAGATATGAATATAAACTCAAATTTTAAATCACACGAAACATGAAATATATTCATTCATAATTAACTGGGTTCATTACAATTAAGTTTATGAATAGTTAAATTCATATAACTTAAAATAAAAAAATAAAAACATTAATCCATAATATTATAAACACACACACAATGCAAACTAAAATATTAAAAAAAAAAGAAATATCAAATATTATGGTTTACAGAATCTTCTAAAGAGCACACTGCATGTCGATCAAGGAAGACTCTGCAACAAAAATATTTATATATTAGATGATACGATTTTGTGAGGGTGAATACAAGTGTTGCATTAGTATTAATTAGATAAAATTATTCAAGGATGCAAATGTAATCTTAGAGAAAACAAAGTCTAATATTCTAAACCAAATTAAATTTTATTTAAGATAATAAGAGAAAGATTTTATTTGTCATAAGAGAATTTTATAAGTTTATAAAGAGTTGTCATAAGATTCTTAAATTTAATGGTATTAAATAAATTATAATTAATATTACAAAATTTAAACTATTTATTTATACTTCAATCATTAAATTTTAAAAAATGTATCATTATCTTAAAAAATTAAAAAAAAATCCACATGCAATATAACAATAAATACTAGGTTGATGTAAATGTGGTAACTTGTGTAGTACCAAAAGCATAGTCATGGTATTAAAAGTAGCATGCATATATTATAAGTAATAATAAAGTAAATACCTGTCTGTCTTCTCGCAATTTTCGAATGTTAATGTCATTTTTCAGCAAAGCGGAACCACTTCCCCACTCTGCCAGACTGTCCAATCCAGCACACTTCCCGTCGACGATGTATTCGCATCCAGACTCCACGCATTCAAGAGCCAAATCTTGACAAGGATGACCACATACAGAGCATTTGGGATAATAATACATTTTCTTGACAAAAGCCAGAGAGTGCGGATGGTCTTCTATTCTGATGACTGTCCCCAATTTGATAAATGAATATCTTCCAAGAGCACATTCGGGATGAGCAGAATTGTCACAAATTTCACAGTAATAAAACCAATGACTTGGGTTTCTATATTTTTCACAAATATCACAAAAGTGATATTTTGAATAATTATTATTCTCATGGTAAGTGAGTGTAAGGAGATGTTCATCGCATTTGTGTCGAACTTTATGTGGTAATGTAACACATTTCCAATCCAAAGCAAAATTGCATCTCTTACAGTAGAATTTCCAGTCTTCCCTGTCACCACAGGCATTGCAAGGCCCTCCATGCTCCATAACAAAAGAGAGAGGATGTTCATGTCCTTGACATGTCAAAACATCGGGAATCACACATCGAAGGCATACAAATTCCCTCCATTCTTCAAGCTTATAAGCGAAGCCATTGCACACGTACCTACAATGATAACATCTGAAAATGTAGTCTGAAACAAGGATGAAGAGTTTTTGGTATGAACGAAACCAAAGACGCTTCTTCTTAGGAAATTCAACACATGTTTTGTGAAGAAAAAAGTCACATTGCGAACAATAATAAAATGAATCCGAGATGGATAATATGCATCCATCACAATATTTATCATCCTCTAAGATCTTGTCACTTAGCAATAAGCTATGTGCATGGCTGAAATGTTTGATCCTTGTGGCTTCTCCACCTTCGTTTCGCTCAATAACAGTGAACGAATCATTATCGGACAACGATGTCGAATCATCATCGAGTTTCTCATCTGACTCTATGACGTGGTACCATTTTTTCAGCTCTAAAACACAATTCACATGGACAACAAAGTTGCAATCTGAACAATAGTAACTCCCATGCACTGTATTCACCCCATCAAGGCAAATTACGCACTCCCGGTCTTCAAATTCCTGTCCTCGAAGGAAATATGTGTGGAAAATGGGGTGTTCATGCCTATCGAATTTGATAATGCCAGGCAAAGAAATGCATTTTTTATGAACTAGAAGGTTGCAATTTGAACACATATAGGGAACACAATTTCCCTCAATGCCACATGCATCGCAAGTGAACAGCATTTGCCTCAAAAACGGAGTGAATTGATGTTGATGACCTTTATCTTCAACAATAGATGGCGGTGACAGGCATGCAACGTGAATCGCAACATTGCAAGGTAAACAACAATAAAGAAATCCAGATAGTTTAGTGTCTTGGCATATCATGCAAGAGAAAATTGAACCACCAAACTGTAGAATAAGAGGATGTTTGCGGTGACATGGATAACTGATTTCAAAAGAGAGCTCAACACATTTCTTATGTAGATTAAATCCACCATCAAAAGAACAGTAAACAGAATCAAACAACCGTTCCCAACACCAAAAGCACTTAGCATTTTCAAGTTCTCTGTTACCATTTTCAGTAGAAATCGATGGATCTTTGCAGGCAATATCTTTCAGCTCTCCAAATTTCTTTTCGGCAAAGTTATATGTGAATAAAGCACATTTGATGTGTAAGTCTATCTTACAAGAACAATGATAAACGAACATAATACCTTCTTCACCGCAAAAGTTGCAAATTAAGCGTCCCTCGTATCCTTTACTCGCATATGGACTTGGCAAAAGACAAAGAGCGTGGTCACGATGGTAAGGGTGATTAATCTGCGAGGGTGCCTCGGCACATTGTTTGTGTAGGTAAAACCCACACTCCGCACAGCTGAAACTGGGACCCGACATCACTTCCCCACACCTAGAGCAGAGAGCCGTTTCACTATGAACTTCATTGAACACCAGTGGGTGTTTATGCCCAAAATATTGTGACTTCACCTCTCCTTTGTCTTTGTCCAACATGCGTGGAAGTGGAAGCACAGGACTATATGTCCGATAACAGGGAAACCAGGAACTTAAGGGAGCAAGGTCTCAACGAAAAGGAAGAAGATTGAAGTCAAGGAGGAGAGCCTGGTTTTGGAATTCAGATTTGAGAGGAAGGTTGCAATGGCAAAGGAATCCATATTCAAGAAGGAGGATTTAAGGAATAAGGTGAACAATCATAAATTCCTTTCGTGTTTGATGGAGAGGAGTAAAGGCACAATCGGTTTCCCTCAGATACTCAAACTTTCAATTGCTGCGAATAGATGGTAAAGAAGGGAATCGAATTTTTAAAATGAGAAATGACTATTACATTCTTTTTCTTTTTTCTTTTTTTTTAATTTCAAAGAAAATCTTTTATAATTATCGCACTGGTCTTTGATGTCGGCAGTACTGGAAAGCAGGGTCACATGTCACCTCAGAGCATCTGAGATGGTGGAAAAAGGTAGTCCAGCAGGATGTTCTGAATTCTAATACACCATATTCATTCATTCCTAGTTCAAAAACCATTTTATCTGCCAGTTAAAACGGGTACGGATTCATTACCAAGGAGCGTATGATTCGGAAAAGTAAGGTTTGAGAAAATATTTTTATTTTTATTTTTTAGTTTTTTCAAAAATAAATTTGATAAAAAAATAAAAATTATTTTTTAAAAATATAAAAATAAAATATTCAATAATATTATTATTAATGTCACCTAATTTAAATATAATACATATTAATTAATTAATGATATTAAAAAGTGTTCAAATATGATATTTTGTAAATATAAAAAAGTAATGTACATCTTTTATTTTTATATATAAAAATAATTTTTTGTTTTTATATAAAAATTTATATTTATTTTAATTATCAAATACATTTTCACTTATATTTTTTATTTTTTAAGAAAATGATTTTGTTTTCTAAAGCCAAACACTACTTAATTTTCTCTCTCAAATTTATTTTTTATAATTTAATTTTTTTGATTTAATTCACAAAAAATGGGTCAAGAATTTTTTTTCTCCTTGATTTCTTAAAATATGTATAATAAGGTGAAATTTGACTTTGTAAACCTTTAGGAGTAAAATTCTTTTCATAGTTGGTTTCACATTAAGCTCATGTTTTTTAAGGAGCAGCATTCTTATTGCATTGTAAAATGATGAGGCAATCACGAAGAATTGAACAAAAGATGGGAGTCCATTCTCTCATAATACCAATTCTTCTAGAAAAAAAGGGAATAGCAATATATTAGCTCAAGTGTGGGATAAAAGTTTCACAATCTTTTCTTCCTCGAATCAAAATTATTCCTTTATGTATTTTCTTAACGAATGTTAGATCTGTTCGTTCCACTATTAGGTTTTGCCTTTAGCCTCAAGTTCTGAAAAGATATGTTAACATATCTTGGAGCAATGCAGGGCGAGAAAGGTTATAAGAGAGGGGATTTCTCTGAATATTGAATAGTATGCTAGTGGATAGCGGGAGAAATTTTCTTTAATTTATTTGTTGTATAATCTATTTTGGGTCATTCTGTCGTTACATTGGCTCTCCTAAATTAGTCAAATGATTCCTTCAGAGGACTACATGGCGAGCAGTTGGGACTGATTTTGCCATCAGACTCTCCAAAACTTTAGTTATATGTGTTTCTAGAAACATGCAACGTGCGAGAGGTACTTCAAGGATATATGTAGTTACTGAGAGACACTACAATGGTATATCTAGTTGTTCATATTTTCTTTCTTGAACTTATTATTACCATTAGAAATTAATAAAGAATAAAGATAAATGTCACAAAACTTCCAAGAAGAGGAAGGTTGCAATGACAAAGGAATAAGGAGGCACCTTTGGTTATCAGAGTAAAGGCACCTTTGGTTATCTTAGATACTCAACTTTCAATTACAGCAAATAGAGGGTAAAGAAAGGAATCGAATTTTTAAAATATGAAATGATTACTACATTCTTTTTCTTTTCTTTTTTTAAATTTCAAGGACAAACTTTTATAACTTCTAAATTCTAACTAATTTAAGTGGCTTTTATTTATTTGATTTTAAAATGTGAATTAAATTGAGTCGAAACTAGTTCAACGGTTTGATTATTGATGCAACATCTGAAAGAAAACCCCGGGCTTGAAGGCTGTCTAGACTTGTGCATATGGTGTTGCCATAGGCCTTTCCTCACACTGGTCCTGACGCTGATTTATGTAGAGCTCCTAATATTTGAAATACAATTTTTTTATATTATCATATCGTATAAAATATTATATTTATATTTTATTTTATATAAAAAATATAAAATATAATTTTTTAATTTTACTAAATTTATTTATAATTTTTTTTTAATTTAAAACCATATTATCTTCATATTTATATTTTTTAATTATATCCAAATTATCAATCCAAAAAATTCACGTACCGCCTCACAAATTTTAAGATCGTGCAAAAGAGTGATCCACTAGGTTGTTCTGAATTCTAATACGTTATATTCATTCATTCCTAGTTCAAAAACCCTTCTGTCAGTTAAAACAGGTCCGTATTCATTCCTAAAAGTATTAACAGAACCCACTCCCAAGCCATATGTTTTTTCATACCTAAGATATCCGACCTCCAAGGGAGTCATAAAACTTAATGTAATGGGATCCCAAACACTCAATATACACTCACTCTTACCTTTACATTTTACAATCATAACAGACATGACGAAATGGCATTTATACAATGACACGCTCTGAACAAAAACACAATGCACCAGGCCAGACATGTCAAGCATAGGAGTTTAGTAAACAATGTGGAAGAAATCACCTCAGCTAGTGATTATAAAGAAAAATTTTCTTCCACTGTTGTGTACAGTAACAGTGATAAGTAAGTTCTATATCATGAGTCCGAGTCCTGCCTGCTTGCTAAGCACAACTCAAGCAACTCGTTGAGTATCCATTCCTCGCCAGTGTGTCCGCCCAATACCAGGACCCTAGTCCCTCCAACCACACAGGTGCTATGACCCCAAGCAAATTTTGGTGGTTGCCCAGGAACGTTGAGGGTCCTCCATGATGGTTTCTCCTCCGAAGGATCCAGAAGGAAGAGCTGAGAAGGAGAATGCAACCCAGCAATCGAACCACCAAATATAATTATCCTCCCACAAGGCATGCTTACAGCTACGTGATCAAGTCGAGGAGGAGGTACTACAGCACTTTGGCTACCAACACTGGTGAAGGCACTACAGTCCAGTTGCCTCCACTGTGGTTCTTCATCCTCCAAATCAATGGTGTAGGCTTCACCCGATCGCAATCGCAAGTTCCCACTCTTTGCAAGCCCTCCAAACATAAGAATTTTTGTACGACCATAAACTGAAAGTGAATGACCCAACCTGGATGGAGGTGTCCATGATGTTGGAATCTCTTTCCATGTTGGTTTGTCAATAGTGAGATCCAAAAGGTATGTGTCACTTAAAAGCACCCCAGCATCTGTGCACCCACCAGACACAACCAACTTAGAACCATCCATCGTGCAAGAGCTATGCCAAGACCTAGGGAGAGGGGGAGTTCCACCGGAAACTTCTTTCCATGTAGGCTGTTTGGCGTCCAAATCAAGAACAAAGACATCATTGAGCAATCCTTGCCTTCCGCATCCTCCAAATACCACCAACCATGAACCATTCAGGCACGAGAGAGTGTGGCCCCAGCGCCCTGGAGGGGATGATTCCACACTCACCCGCTGCCACTCTGGATTTGCAGCATCTAGATTGAGAACAAAAGTGTCATCCATTGGCTGCATGTTGACTCCCTCCCCTCCAAAAAGCACAAGACGGTTTCCCGCTGCACATGCACTAAAGTTGCAACGTGAAGGCTGCACTGCTCCTCCAACAGTCAGTTTCCTCCAACAAACTGCCTCAAGAGTGGTCAGTTCTCGGGCAAGACGTCCCCACCCCAACTTCTTAGTCATCATTTCCAATGTACCAGTGACTTCTCTTCCCCAGGCATTTTGACATACCATTTTCCTCACATGTTCGTTTTTTGTTAGTTGGCGGATCCTTCTGCAGACAGACCCAATAGAAGCAACATCCCTTGGTGTCAACCGTGATAAAATGTTATGAGCCAAGACTTCATCAGAGAGTTGGAGGATCCCACATATTTCTTCATGCTGACTGAATGGTGGATTTCCACTCAAATGAGAGTATTTAGCTGACTGATCCCACTGCTGATTACAAATCTCTTTGAAAACTGGATATGATACACGGTTCAGATCTAGTTTTGCTTCAGAAAAAACTTGAATACCAATAACATGTGTGACGGTTCCATCATCATCATGTATAGGTGCAAGTTTTAATCTGTTCACCAATGGAGTGCCGTCCTTCCTGAAATTGAGAAGCTCACCTTGGAATTCAATACCTTCCTCAAGACATCTTCGGATCTCAGAAACAACAAACGGATCAACCAAAGGGTGCCGTCTTTGAGCACGTGGGTCTCTAAACTGTAAAAATCGACTAAAAGAAAACAAAAAAAAAAACTCATAAAGGGTCAATCTAATCCTTTCAAACAGGAGATCATTAAGAGATGAAAAAACATCACAGTTAAGGAAGCACAAATGAAGGTACATTGCTCTAGGGCATTATTGAATAAGAAAATTTAAAAGCAAAGAACCACAAAGATAATCTCAAAGTCCCAGAAGCTAACTTCTATTACATAATTGTGGACAGCAGCCAAGAAGATGCCAATAACATGGAAATAAATTAACCTCTGGAGCAATTTTTATTCATGCAGTACACCAGACAAATCCAAAAAAGAAAAAAAACGTGTGAAAATTTTTCCACTTCATGTTGCTCCTTCTGAGGAGGAATGCTTGAATATGGCAAATTCTTTTAAGAAATTGAAAATTAAAACAATCAGAAGCTGGATGCCTCACTCACCATCAAAATCACAATCCGTTTTCAATCCAGTAAAGAGGAAAAAATGAATTATGCAGCAAGCTTACACCTTCTGTAGGTTCGTTTTACCAGAAAAATATTGATTTAGTATTTACTATATTTATTTACTTTTCTTAAAATTTAAGTCCTAATTTCTTCTGTTTTAATCTCTTTTTTTTTTAACTCTTAACTTTCTACTTCTAATTAAATGAAATAATCAAACGTAAACTCCAAATTTTCTACCAATAAAAGAAAAAAACTCGTTTTATAAGTCTGGAGCTCGTATTATACGATTATATTTGCTACTCACAAGAAATAAATGTCCGTAAATTTGCTAATTTATTACTTTCATGCCATCAAATGAGTAGCATTACTCTATTAAACAAACAGTTACTACTTATTTTGATCAAATTTGGTTATCTCTTAAATTTACTCCAATAACAGATCTCTAAATCTATCTCTAAACCTAACG